TCCCATGGACAGTAATACTAAAAGGAAAGGGAGTTCAAGATGGCTGGGAGTTTGTTAAGAGGGAGATAGTAAAAGCACAACTTCAGGCAATACCAATGAGACGGAAACATGGAAGGTGCCTAAAGAAGCCAGGGTGGCTATCTAAAGAACTTTTAACTGAGTTAAGATTAAAAAAGGATGTGTACAAAAAATGGAAAAGGGGGGAAACCACCAAAGAGGAATTCAAACAAATAGCCAGCACGTGTAGACACAAAGTCAGAAAAGCTAAAGCACAAAATGAACTCAGGCTTGCTAGAGAGGTTAAAAGCAACAAAAAAGGCTTTTATGGGTATGTTCGTAGCAAAAGGAAGAACAAAGAAACCGTGGGGTCACTCAGAGGAGAAGATGGTGAAATGCAAACAGGGGACACAGAAAGGGCTGAACTCCTCAATGCCTTCTTTGCCTCAGTCTTCTCCGATAAAGAAAACAATGCCCGACCTGAAGAATTTGGAGCAAATGATTCAGCAGAGGAAACACAGCCCAGAATAACTAAGGAGATAGTACAAGAATACTTGGCTAGTCTAGATGTATTCAAGTCTCCAGGGCCAGATGAACTGCATCCAAGAGTATTAAAAGAACTGGCAGATGTGATCTCAGAACCACTGGCAGTCATCTTTGAGAATTCCTGGAGAACAGGCGAAGTCCCGGCAGACTGGAGGAGGGCAAATGTTGTCCCTATTTTCAAAAAGGGGAAAAGAGAGGACCCAAATAATTACCGCCCAGTCAGTCTGACATCAATACCAGGGAAGATTCTGGAGCAGATCATTAAGCAAACAGTCTGTGAGCACCTAGAAAGGAATGCTGTGATCACCAATAGTCAGCATGGATTTCTGAAAAATAAGTCATGTCAGACTAACCTGATCTCGTTTTTTGACAGAATTACAAGCCTGGTAGATGAAGGGAACGCAGTGGATGTAGTCTACCTTGATTTCAGCAAGGCATTTGACAAGGTGCCCCATGATATTCTTGTAAAGAAGCTGGTAAAATGCGGTCTTGACTATGCTACCACTCAGTGGATTTGTAACTGGCTGACTGACCGAACCCAAAGGGTGCTCATCAATGGTTCCTCTTCATCCTGGAGAAGAGTGACTAGTGGGGTGCACAGGGTTCTGTCCTGGGCCCGGTCTTATTCAACATCTTTATCAACGACTTGGATGATGGACTCAAGGGCATCCTGATCAAATTTGCAGATGACACCAAACTGGGAGGGGTGGCTAACACCCCGGAGGACAGGATCACACTTCAAAACGACCTTGACAGATTAGAGAACTGGGCCAAAACAAACAAGATGAATTTTAACAGGGAGAAATGTAAAGTATTGCACTTGGGCAAAAAAAATGAGAGGCACAAATACAAGATGGGTGACACCTGGCTTGAGAGCAGTACATGTGAAAAGGATCTAGGAGTCTTGGTTGACCACAAACTTGACATGAGCCAACAGTGTGACGCGGCAGCTAAAAAAGCCAATGCAATTCTGGGCCTCATCAATAGGAGTATAGCATCTAGATCAAGGGAAGTAATAGTGCCACTGTATTCTGCTCTGGTCAGACCTCACCTGGAGTACTGTGTCCAGTTCTGGGCACCACAGTTCAAGAAGGACACTGACAAACTGGATCGTGTCCAGAGGAGGGCAACCAAAATGGTCAAAGGCCTGGAAATGATGCCTTATGAGGAACGGCTAAGGGAGCTGGGCATGTTTAGCCTGGAGAAGAGGAGGTTAAGGGGTGATATGATAGCCATGTTCAAATATATAAAAGGATGTCACATAGAGGAGGGAGAAAGGCTGTTTTCTGCTGCTCCAGAGAAGCGGACACGGAGCAATGGATCCAAACTACAAGAAAGAAGATTCCACCTAAACATTAGGAAGAACTTCCTGATAGTAAGAGCTGTTCGACAGTGGAATTTGCTGCCAAGGAGTGTGGTGGAGTCTCCTCCTTTGGAGGTCTTTAAGCAGAGGCTTGACAACCATATGTCAGGAGTGCTCTGATGGTGTTTCCTGCTTGGCAGGGGGTTGGACTCGATGGCCCTTGTGGTCTCTTCCAACTCTATGATTCTATGATTCTATGATCTTCTTGCAGTCCATGGGACTCTCAAGAGTCTCCTCCAGCACCATAATGAAAAAGAATCAATTCTTCGGCGACCAGCCTTCTTTATGGTCCAGCTCTCACTCCCAGCTCCGTACTTCATTAGCATGAACCAAAGTTTATTCGTATACATTTGCATGCAGGTGTAGGCCCTATTCATGTGACCTATGTGTTCACTGCAAAGGAGAACAGATCACTTGACCAGGTCAAGTCATGCACAAATATATATGTATAGGTTTATGGAAAAATGGACCTAGTGTAAAAAGGTAAAGGGAAAAAGGACCCCTGGACAGTTAAGTCCAGTCAAAGGTGACTATGGGGTTGCGGTGCTCATCTTGCTTTCAGGCTGAGGGAGCCGGCGTTTGTCCACAGACAGCTTTCTGGATTATGTGGCCAGCAGGACTAAACCACTTCTGGAGCAACAGACCACCATGAAGGAAACCAGAGCACATGGAAATGGCATTTACCTTCCCACCGCAGTGGTGTTGTTGTTTAGTCATTTAGTCGTGTCTGACTCTTCGTGACCCCATGGACCAGAGCACGCCAGGCACCTCTGTCCTCCACTACCTCCCGCAGTTTGGTCAAACTCATGCTGGTAACCTCGAAAACACTATCCAACCATCTCGTCCTCTGTCGCCCCCTTCTCCTTGTGCCCTCCATCTTTCCCAGCATCAGTGTCTTCTCCAGGGAGTCTTCTCTTCTCATGAGGTGGCCAAAGTACTGGAGCCTCAGCTTCATGATCTGTCCTTCCAGTGAGCACTCAGGGCTGATTTCCTTAAGAATGGATGCGTTTGATCTTAGGTACTGCAGTGGTACCTACGGTATTTATCAATGTACCGCAATGTTCGAAACTCCCATTGTTCTAGGTGCATTTTGTGACAGGAAATTTCATTAATGTGAGCAGTTTCTGAGCTCTGGGCTCAGATTAAAACTGCCACTGCTGGAAGAAAATGGGGACCTTTTTCTGCCCCCCCACTTCCAGCCACTCTCTGAAGACTGGAGAAGGAACCTCATAAGAATATTAGGGGAGTGGGCAGGGGAAGAATGGCTTTGCTTTTTGCAGTCTTAAGATGAGGACTAGACCATGTGAAAAATGAACCTAAGCTGCAGTTCATTCATTTTCAGCTTTGTATTCTTGTTATTAAAAAAAGGGTGCCTACACACTCTGTTGCGGAGCCCATAACCTCGGTTTCAGGTGCCACTGAGCTCCTAGCTTTCACTTCTCAGTTTCTAACACTTCTATTTATCTATGTGCACTGGCGTGCTTTCAAACTGCTAGGCTGGAACAGAGCAACGGGAGTTCACCCCGTCACAGGGATTCAAACTGCTAACCTTCCGATTGGCAAGCCCAAGAGACTCAGTGGTTTACACCACAGCGCCACCTGCAAGTAGATAAATTGGTACCGCTGTGGCGGGAAGGTAAATGGCATTTCTGTGCACTCTGGTTTCTGTCATGGTGTTCTGTTGTGCCAGAAGTGGTTAGTCCTGCAGGCCACATGACCCAGAAAGCTGTCTGTGGACAAACACCGGCTCCCTTGGTGCACATGTGTGTATCAGCGGAAGGGTGCCAAAGTTATTGCTCTGCTTCTCTGGGTGGCAGGCACACGAAGCCTCCCGTGGCCAATCACCCTGTTATCTTGGTTCCTTCCAAGGGCAAGAGGGGAGAATCATGAGATGCCTTTGCCTCGTGCTTTGACGTCTGCAGCAGTTACGATAAACACTTATGTCCCTGTGGAGATGGCAGTACTGAATCGGTGGCGCATGGCCTTCTGGCTTGCACTCTGTTTTATAAGGACTTGCGGAATGAGATTATCTTTTATCATCCAATCTGGGTCGCCCAACCACTGCCACTGTGACCTTTCTCTTGGCACATCAAGACGAGCAGGTGACAGCAAAGGTTGCAAGATTTTTAGCTGGGGCCAGTGGCGTAGCGTGGGGGGTGCAGGGGGGCCCGGCCGCACCGGGCGCAACATCTGGGGGTTAGGGTTAGGGGGCGCAAACCCACGGGTTAGGGGGCGCAAATTACTTGCCTTGCCCCGGGTGCTGACAACCCACGCTACGCCACTGGCTGGGGCAATCAGAATATGATCCACTATTTGACTATTGATTCAAAACCCTAAAATGTGTTTGATATAATTGACTTTTTATTTATATGTATATTGTATTGTTGGGGACGCGGGTGGCGCTGTGGGTAAAAGCCTCAGCGCCTAGGGCTTGCTGATCGAAAGGTCGGCGGTTCGAATCCCCGCGGCGGGGTGCGCTCCCGTTGTTCGGTCCCAGCGCCTGCCAACCTAGCAGTTCGAAAGCACCTCCGAGTGCAAGTAGATAAATAGGGACCGCTTACTAGCGGGAAGGTAAACTGCGTTTCCGTGTGCGGCTCTGGCTCGCCAGAGCAGCAATGTCACACTGGCCATGTGACCCGGAAGTGTCTCCGGACAGCGCTGGCCCCCGGCCTCTTGAGTGAGATGGGCGCACAACCCTAGAGTCTGTCAAGACTGGCCCGTACGGGCAGGGGTACCTTTACCTTTACCTTTATATTGTATTGTTGTTTTATTGCGATGGCCGATGCAAATATTCATTCATTCATTCATTCATTCATTCATTCATTCATTCTGCAGCAGTCCGGTGTGTCCACTAAAGCCGCCCCCCCTTCTTTGGCCGGACCCACCGCAGACCTACCTGCCCCGCGGGCCGCGAACGCACGTGCGCGAAAGGGGCGGGGCCGGCCAGAGCGGCATGCAAATCGGAGCGCCGCCAGTAGCCAATCGGCGGCAGGCGAGCGCCCGGAGTTCGGGGGAGCCCGCGCGTCCGCTTTCAATCCTCCGCCCACTTGCCACCCAGGGAGAGCTCTCTCCGCGGCTCGCCGGCGGTGCGGATCGGGCCGGGGGTGGGCGGGCGCGCGCGGGACCGGGCGCGCGCGTGTGCATGTCCGGTGACACCACTTCTCCGCTGCTGCTGCTGCTGCCGCTGCCGCTCAGGCGCCTTTTCTGCTTTGCCGCCTTTCTGCAAAGCAGGTCACCCCCAGCGCCTCCTCCTGGGAACCGGAGCGCGCTGCTGCCGCTGCTGATCCTCCGCTTTAGCTGCTGCTGCTGCTAAGCCCGCTCTCTCTCTCTCATTTCCCCTCCGGCAAACCGGAGGGAGAGGCGGCTTGGCAAGCTCCACGTCGGGGCGCGAAGAAGCCCTCGGAGGCGACCGGCGCCCAAGCGCTCCCCAAAAACGAAACACCAAACCAAAAGGAAAACACCCGCCACCGGGAGACGAGGGAGGTGATCCGGCCACTTCTCCTCCGTGGATGGAGGAGAGACGAGGGATGCGACTGAGCCGTCTTTGTTGCCTCTTTTATCAGCTGTGCTTCCTGTCAAATGGGATCGCTGCAGGTAATTTCAGCCTTTTCTCTCTCTCCTAGGGTTGCCATATTTCAAAAAGTTTACAAAAGAAAACAGGACTTCCCGAAAGTCGTGGAGCTTTTTTTTTTTTTTTTTAGGAAGACCCCAAAATATTGAGCCCCCAAAAATGAGACTTGCCTAAGATCCAGGACAAAGCCCCGCGTTTTGGAAATCGCCCCCCCCCCGGTAATTTCTGCCTTTGCAATCCCGGTAGTGTCCGGGGAAATACGAACATATGCCAGACCTACTCTCTCCTCCCTCCCCTGCCCGGCACGCCTTCTCAATTTTCTTCTTTTTGAATCTTGTCCGTTTAATAAACGGACACACTTATTCTTCCCAGAGGTGTCCAGATGCTGGATGTTTTACCGGACTGGGCAGGGAAAGGGACAGGGAGCCGTGGGGCACGAAGTGGGTTTGCGGATAGATGAAAGATCTGGATTTGAGGATCCTGGGCGAGCGCAAACTTTTGCACAGGAAGATTCTCGTGTTGCACCAATATCTCTGCGAGTTCTCGGGCTCCAGGTTGCCTGGGATGCCTTGGCCCATGCCCTCACCAAATGCACAGCCCCAGGCGTGGATGTGAGGAATACAGCACTCTGCACATGTTCAGAGTCGGACAGCTCTCCAGTTAGCCGTGCAAACGCTTTCTAATTGTTGGCAGTATAAGACTGAAAGTTAAGCCGCCACTCAGATCAAGCGCTTCTTTTACTAGCCAGTAGAAAACAGGAGGGAACTCATTCTCTGCCTTCCTTGCAGTGATGCACTCTCTGATACACACCCTAAGACAATATCTTGGTTTGGCATAGTTTACGAGAATGTGTCCTCCTACAAACGTTTCTTCAAAATGTGTCTTATATAACATTCAGACTGTGAGCTTTCATTTCCTAGGAGTGATCTTTGTGTTCTCATTACCTATAAGGAGATCTGTGAAGTTTAGGTATCTAGACACTGTGCTGTAAAAGAACACATTAAAAAGTAGAAACGATATATATATATGTTTGTGGTTTATACCATATGCTGTATTTTCACGCAGTGCATGCAACATACTTTGCAAAGGCAACTGGCCAAGTTAACTCCTATCTCTTCCTCAGTCCCAATGCCTCCTTACCTCTCTCTGGGTTCAAAAGGCAGAACACATATTCCCCTGAGACAAGAGCTCTCTTAATTGTCTTTCTTTCATATGGATCAAGTCCAAGCATTAAGGGTCAACATTTAATAAATTGAATTTCTTCTGTAGCCTTGTTTCCTTTGATGAGCAAGACTAGGTAGCCAGTTGCAAGGGAACTCTGTTTCTCTGTACAGTACATTACCTGCTTCACCTAAGCTAACTGCAGAGTGCTTCACAGATATTTCCTGTGCATCTGTTGTTTTGTAAGGCTTTTGCACGAGTAGAAGAATATGCCAGATAGCACTTTCCTTATTGTGTGTAAAAATTCCATATTGCAGAGGAGTCAGGGAGACGCGGGATAGGATGGGACGGGACTGCTGAGCGTTGAATCTGGCTTGTTCCTGTATAGTAATTTTGCTGTACTCCGGACTTCTAGAATACGGCACATGCCATGTGAAACGCGAGAAGACTTGACGAATGGCGTTCTGCACCTCTTCGTACGGTCTCCTGTTTGTATTCTGTTTTTGTAAGATGTGAATAACAACAATGTAATAACCAACACCTGAAATGCCATAGTGTCAAAAGTGATGGAGGGGGGCTGTGGAATACATGCGGAAGTTTCCCAGTTCAACCCCTGACATCTTCAGGTAGGGCTGAGAGAGGCTCCGCGTATGAAACCCTGGAGAGCAGCTGTGCTGAGCAAAATGGACCAATGGTCTAGACTTAGCATATGGCAGGTTTCTATGTTCATACGGATACCCAGTGTCATTCTTACGATGTAATGGTTAGTATTATAAGCGGGGCCAGCGACAAAATGTCTCTTGAGACCAACGGATGCCAACAACAGCAATTGTTGTTGTTGTTTAGTTGTTTAGTCGTGTCCGACTCTTCGTGACCCCATGGACCAGAGCACGCCAGGCACTCCTGTCTTCCACTGCCTCCCCCAGTTTGGTCAAACTCATGCTGGTAGCTTCGAGAACACTATCCAACCATCTTGTCCTCTGTCGTCCCCTTCTCCTTGATGTTTCCCAACATCAGGGTCTTTTCCAGGGAGTCTTCTCTTCTCATGAGGTGGCCAAAGTATTGGAGCCTCAGCTTCAGGATCTGTCCTTCCAGTGAGCACTCAGGGCTGATTTCTTTAAGAATGGATAGGTTTGTTCTTCTTGCAGTCCATGGGACTCTCAAGAGTCTCCTCCAGCACCATAATTCAAAAGCATCAATTCTTCGGCGATCAGCCTTCTTTATGGTCCAGCTCTCACTTCCATACATCACTACTGGGAAAACCATAGCTTTAACTATACGGACCTTTGTTGGCAAGGTGATATCTCTGCTTTTTAAGTTGCTATCTACCTGCAACAAAATGTTGTGATATACAGTGGTACCTCGGGCTAAGAACTTAATCCGTTCTGGAGGTCCGTTCTTAACCTGAAACTGTTCTTAATCTGAGGCACCACTTTAGCTAATGGGGCCTCCCACTGCCGCCGCACCATCACCGCACAATTTCTGTGCTCATCCTTAAGTAAAGTTCTTAACCCGAGGTACTATTTCTGGGTTAGCGGAGTCTGTAACCTGAAGCACCTGTAGCCTGAAGCGTCTGTAACCCGAGGTACCACTGTACAGTCGGGTTGACTCCCAAACGACTGAAACCTGGAAGTGAGTGTTCCGGTTTTCGAATGATTTTTGGAATCCGAACATCCAAAGGGGCTTCTGCAGCTTCCAATTGGCTGCAGGAGCTTCCTGCAGCCAATAAGAAGCTGCCCTTTGGTTTTTGAACGTTTTGGAAGTCAAATGGAGTTCTGGAACGGATTCCATTTGACTTCTAAGGTACAAAAGTATCTCCAACCCACCGGGATCCATCCCTGGGAAAGAAGTGTTTCCTTTCCCTTCAACCACAGTCTCCGTCCCACTTCCAGTTCCCGTTTTTCCTCCAAGAGTAGAAAAGCCCTGGAAACTGCAGCTCCTTCTGAAGGTTTTTTCTTTCTTTCCTTTTTTTTTAGAAAGAACTTTTTTTTAATTGACATTTTCTTTTAAGCTACAAATGTATATACTTCTGCACATCCCCCAGCTATTAAATTACCACAACTTTATTTTCCGGTGGCCCGGTTCCAAACCATACTGATAGCACTTAACCACCCAGGTTCATAATTAGAGGAAATTATTATCATTTTGCTGCAGATGGCGAGATGTGACTGAAAGTGCCCTGCCTGAAGCCACCTAGTGAGAGAAGCAAAATCAGCCCCTACTCCACACCCCCTTGAAATATTAAACAGAACTATTAAAATGGATAATATATCATCCCTATTTAATGCCTTATAATTTAAAAAGAAGCTTTGGGTTATATTTAGTTTAAAAAAGGATGCAGTTTATACTTCGAGAGGAAGTATATTCAGCATTGGGCTCTTCTAATCATTCTGTCAGTGCAAGCATTTAACTTGTCTGATGGAATGATCTCCCCTCTCTCCCCCCTGCTTGATCTGGGGGTTGTCAAGACCCCCCAGATTGGGGAGAGGAGAGGAGGGAAAGTCCAACTGTGCTAGGAGGACCTGTGCTAGCTTCTGCTAATGTACCTACTTAGTTGAATCTGGGCCTTTATTTTTTAAAACACACAACAGTCTTCAACAGTGGTATGAATTTAAGCATTTTCACCCTTCTTCAACATAGGTGATATATCATCTAGGATCTTGTATAGCCTAGCACACGGAAAGAAAAAACACAGCATTCAAATCCAACTCTACTTGTGTCACTGTGTTGGCCAAGGATGGAGAACCTTTGGTCCTCCAGATGTTGTAAGACTCCAGCTTGTTGTATGAATTACCATGCATTTGTAAAAACTTGGTCATCTAGTGTGGCAGCACCTTCACTTTAAAACTCTCTGCCTGTTGCATTCTTTTTGGTGCTTGCTAAAAACATTATCGTTTAGATGCTTAGAAAGTTGAGAATTTTGATCGGTTGTAGTATTTTAACTTTTTGTATGTTTTTAACTATTGCTGTAATTTTTCCTTGATTTTATTCTTTTGCTTTTTTGTAAACCACTTTGAGGTTTGTTTGTAAAAACACTACTACTACTACTACTACTAATAATTTATTTGTACCCCGCCCATCTGACTGGGTTGCCCCAGCCACTCTGAGTGGCTTCCAGCATATGTAAACTCCCATCACCCTGGACCATTATGTCATTATGTTGACTGGGGTTGATGGGAAGTCCTCTTACCTTATTTGGTGGCCAGCGTTGCAGCTGGGCCCTGCGTCACCTGGCTGAGGGCTGGAGACTGGTGCGCTCCCTGCCATCGCCACCCCATGCCATCGGCGCTGGGCAGGGCGCCGCTCAAGGAGCAGTCCTTGCTAACCATTCAGCACCAATGAGGGGCGTGTCAACGGGGAATTTAAACTCCAATGCGGCGGGGAGGCCGTCCTCTTACATCCTTCGCAGTGGGTAAGCCCTTGTTTAGATGGAGGGAAGGTTGTAGCCTCTGCTTGCCCCTCCTCATTAAGTGTACCCCTTTAAAGGGATCCAGGGGTGTGAATTCTGTCCAATGCCTGGACGTGGGCCAGGGCCATGTCACTACCCCAACGGGGACCCATTGGGGCGCTCCTTTTTAATGTACGTCTTAGGGCTCCTCCTATCAGTGGTTTATCCTTAGTTGGACTCCCAGCAGACTGGCGGGAGTCGAGATATAGTTTGGTTTCACCCAATGCCTAAGCCAAACCGCTCACATCTGTAACCAATAAAGTTGTGGCCTGTTTGAACCCATAAACCAAAATCTGCTGGTTTGTGTGTCTTATTTATCCACCAGGGGACCGTGGGTTGCGGGGCCTTGGTATGCAATTGGAGACTAACAGAATATGGATGATGATAATAATAATAATAATAATAATAATAATAATAATAATAATAATAATAATAATTTATTTATATCCCGCCCATCTGGCTGAGTCTCCCCAGCCACTCTGGGTGGCTCCCAATCAAATGTTAAAAACAGTACAGCATTAAATATTAAAAACTTCCCTAAACAGGGCTGCCTTCAGATGTCTTTTAAACCGCATTCTGGATTAAGTGCAGTTTCCGGGTCACCTTCAAAGGTAGCCCCACGTAGAGTGCATTGCAGTAGTCCAAGCGGGAGATAACTAAAGCATGCACCACTCTGGCGAGGCAGTCTGTGGGCAGGTAGGGTCTTAGCCTTCTTACCAGGTGGAGCTGGTAGACAGCCGCCCTGGACACAGAATTAACCTGCGCCTCCATGGACAGCTGTGAGTCTAGAATGACTCCCAGGCTTCGTACCTGGTCCTTCAGGGGCACAGTTACCCCATTTAGGACCAGGGAGTCCCCCACACCCGCCCGCCCCCTGTCCCCCAAGAACAGTACTTCTGTCTTGCCAGGATTCAACCTCAATCTGTTAGCCGCCATCCATCCTCCAACCACCTCCAGGCACTCACAGAGGACCTTCACCGCCTTCGCTGGTTCAGATTTAATGGAGAGGTAGAGCTGGGATAGCTACCTCTTCCCCACCCCAAGTGTAGTTGAAGCATTGAAATGAAACTGACACATCTGAAGTCTGACTCCAATATTGATCTCTCATTTGTGGCAACTGTTAAGGTCAGGGAGTGGTTCTGGCATTAAACTTCAGCCTATCTTTCCCCCCCCCTATGCAGGTCTGCAACCTTTGGGAGACTCTGAGGAGTGGGAGATTGTCTATCCAGCACTATGGAGCAGAGGCCAGCAGGAACCCAATGGAGGCAGCGGCGCAGGAGGCAGCTGCAGCACTGATGGAAACTGTGGGAACAGTAGCAGCAATCTTAGCGCTACCTCTGCATCCACTCAGGTGGTGGGCAGCTCTCGCGAAGTCCGCTCAGTTTCTTCCTCATCTGACAGGCAGCTGCAGCCGGTTGGGGAGACCTCTGAGGACGAGGTCTCCGAGGACGAATATGAGTCTCAGGAGTTCTATCACTGGTCTCCTCTTCCTCAGGGATCGAACACTACTTCTCAGCTGCCCCTCCCTCCCTCGCCTTCTCCAGAGGACGGGGACGAGGTGCTGCTGAGAATACCAGCTTTTGCTCAGGAGCTCTACCTGCTGCTGAAGAGGGACAGCCGCTTCCTGGCCCCAGGCTTTGCAGTGGAAGAACGACTGATGAGCGAGAGGAGGAGTCTCCCGAACTCTGCCCAGACCCAGACAGAGAGATCGTGTTACTACAGCGGGTCTGTGCTCCATTACCCAGGCTCCTTTGCTTCCTTCAGCACTTGTGGTGGTTTGGTAAGGCTTGTAATCGTAGCATTCTCCCAGTCTTGTATGTTTTTTTGGGGTGCTTTCTTTCCCCACCTCCTGTATTTTCTCCTTCTTTTGGGTAAAGGTTATTCTTTCTGCTGTCCTTTACACATTGTGGCATTCGTATAGCGCCCCCGGTTGTTTCACGGACTATTGACCTGTACACCACTACTTTATCCTTCCGCTGCCACCAATTTTGTGGGGGGGAAAACCCAGGGTTTCCCAGTGAAGTATTGAGTCTCAGTCAGGTAGAGTTAACAATGAAGATTAAAGTTTATTTCAAAGACAAACAAGTTTTAAAATATATTCGAAACGCTGTCACTCTATTCCCTCTCAGTCTTGTCTCTGTCTCTAACTCACTCTGACTCCTCTATCTCCCCCCCAAAAAGAACCAACCAAACTTAACTGTCAAAACCTCTGGGCTGAGCCTCAAAATCAGATAGGCTCTGATCACATTCATGCATAAATTGTTCATTTGTTTAAAATAATTTATAGACAACGTCTCATTGTAAAACTAACAAGGTGAGTTACAGAATAAAACGTATACAATAAAATAACAATAACACATGCAAACGTATCTCCAAAGTCAAGTTGAGCTGGTGCTAAGGATCAGGGCCCAAGAATGTGCTAATATCATTCTGCATACGATAACACTCATTGTGGATCACCTAATTTTTAATTTGCCTAGGGTAGCAAACAACCCCCACCCCAGTAACAGAGGCTGCTGTAGCAACGTGTAGCAAGGATTTGGGCAGTGTTTACTTTCATTTTTTCTCAAGCTTTGCAGGAATCTTGGTTTATCGTGAACTCTTGTTAGTTAAACAAACCCATGGTTTGTTAAACGTAACCCATGTTGAAGTTGGCTTGTTTTGTTCGGAGTTTGTGATATGATCCCTGGTCCAAACAACCAGCCTGAGATTTAGGGAATGAGCGCAGGGAGAAGGAGAGGGGAAAGGGGAGCATGCAAGCTCAAGGCTTTGCTTCAGCTCATTACAGCTCAAGCACAGAGTTGTAAACCATGGCTTGGCTTTATGGGCAGGTGAGGCCATTTATGTCTTTGCTTGGGCCCTGCTGGACTTGAAACAACCTTTGAATCTTTGAATGTATCAACAGTTCCCTGGAGACTGCAGTTAACTACTGGTAGGAGTTCAGCAGACTTTATCCTGGATTGCACCAGCTAGAAATCGGAATCAGACCCAGCGACAACAGCAATGGTTTCTGCAATGAGCAGAAGTCCCAGGATATTTCAGGGTGGGTGGAGAGAGTATGGGCAGCTGGGATGATGTAAAATCCTGGAATGATTTAAAGCAAAGCAATTATTATTTTCCTTTAGCCTTTTATTAATCTGCATGCCTGCGGAACCATATAGAAGGAGGACAGGGGTGTTGTTGACAGTGGCTCTGAGGCTGAAGAGAGTCAATGGCATCTCAAGTGAGCATATCCTGGTTGGCTGGCTGTAATCTGTGGAACAGCGCTACAGCTATGAAGACATTGTTGGCTTCCATTCCAAAATCTGATTTCAACCGAAGAACATTGAAAATAGCTTGCCAGCATTTTTTTTTTTGTGAGGACTAGAGTTAGTTTAGTTTACTGCTGTTAAAACAGATTTGCCAGGTTTGATAGGATTTTAAAGTGAAATTGGGTGGAAAAGTTGAGGTTTAAGCTGCAGTTCAGTTTGCTTGTTTAGACTCAAAACTGTTGGGTTTTGGGGAAATGGCATTTAACTGATACTGAAAAGTAGTTGCTTAAAGTGTAACTGCCAGCTTTTAAACATTTGCATGTTGGGTGTCTCAGTTTTTCCAGCATGTGGGTACAATGCGGACTATGGATGAATAGTCAAAACTGAATACTTTTTTTGTACAGTGTATTGTTACTTGTTCTGATAGGTGTCAACATACTTAAAAAAGGTAAAGGTAAAGGGACCCCTGACCATTAGGTCCAGTCGTGACCGACTCTGGGGTTGCGGCGCTCATCTCGCTTTATTGGCCGAGGGAACTGGCGTACAGCTTCCGGGTCATGTAGCCAGCATGACGAAGCCGCTTCTGGCGAACCAGAGCAGCGCACGGAAACACCGTTTACCTTCCCGCCGCAGCGGTACCTATTTATCTACTTGCACTGGCGTGCTTTCGAACTGCTAGGTGGGCAGGAGCACGGACTGAGCAACGGGAGCTCACCCCGTTGCAAGGATTCAAACCACCAACCTTCTGATCGGCAAGTCCTAGGCTCTGTGGTTTAACCCTCAGCGCCACCCGCGTCCCTTGTCAACATACTTACACGTGTTTATATAGTGGGGATCTAGGGAATTTTTGCTACTTATATTTTTCCTTTTCTCTCCCCAAGTCCACAAGGTTTGTGTCTGTGTGTATGTATATATATATAATATGGTAAAATTGGCCCAGTCAAAGGCAGATGGTTCTGTTTGCTTACAGCCACATATTACACTGTGCATCCTATAGGTGCATCATCACATGTTAATAGCCTATAGCTGGTTTAAGCGCTTGATTCTTCTTTGCAAAACAGCGCAAGCAGACTCTAATTGTCACTTGGAATATATTAGGCAGCTTTTTCTACACAATTATATATCTTTCTTTTTTTGCTGCTGATGGCATTGTAGGGGAGATTGTCCTAATCTACAGGATGAGTTGCCACAGTCGTAGCTTGCCTGCCATATGGCGATAGCTGTTGTTTGATTTGAAACCTTGATCTCACTTTGCTCACTTCTATCCTTTGTCTTTCCCTCCTTTAAACTTCTAAACATTTTCCTAGTAAGCCAAAGGTAGGAATGGGACATGCAGATCAAGCAAATGTAAGCTATATTTATTTATCTAAAATGTCAGAAAGTACCAGTTTGAGTATACATCTTCTCCAGATATTGTGCATAAAATAGTGTGCAGAAACTGATGGGACTGAAAACTGGGTTTTAAAAAAGAGGTCCCTCTTTATCCTCTGAAATGATCAACATTGACCATGACCAATCTGAGTCAGTTATCTATCTAGAAGTTTATGCTCATTTTTATCTACACATTTTCTTTCTTATTCCCTCCCCAACATCAACGGAAATCCCTCCGAATCTAAGATTAGTTTTCTTTAAAAATTGCAGATTGCTTCATCTTAGAAGAATAAATTATGGCATGGCATTTCCACAAACTTTCATGGTATTTTGAGTTTTTTTTAACAAATTACAAGGAGAAAGTTTGTTCATAAGGGCATGAGGCTGATTGAGGATAATCTTTCTCACTGAAAGGCCACAGAGTTCAAAAGGCTTTTCTTTGTTTACCTTAATTTATCGCTTGTTTGAGTTGTGGAGAGATATGTTTAAACAGGCACTATCAGATTTACCATCAGAAGAAATGGTCTAGGTGGGAGGACATCAATGGAAATGTCAAATGGAAACGAAACAGATTTGTTTTATCACATAACTCAGGGGACAGCTCTGAAGGTATGATGTGATGGAGACCTGAACTTCAACTACTGGTTAATATGAATCTAAGAGCTGAATGGATTTAATGACAAATACGCAAATGCAATTGCACCAAGACAACTTCCCACCAACAGAACCAATGTTTATTTCTTTATTATGAGTATATAGTAACAGCATTTAATTGTGGCGGTACAAGAACTGGTCAGAATGTACAGATCATTTGCAAAGGTTTACAACAAAAAGAACAATAGGGTAAAGGGAGAGGAGGGGTGGAGACACAAGACCAGAATAGAGAAAGGATGAAAAAGCCTGGATGAAAATACTGGGGTTTTTTCAACTATTTTGCAAACCACATGGAGAGAATGATATATAGAAATGCTTGGTATAATAAAAATCCATTCAGTAGTTTCTAAGAAGAACCCAAAGCTCCATGGAAGAATAGTGGTAAGAGTTCTTGGTTCAATTATGTGTACCTTCAACTAAAAGAATCCGAAGTAACAGGGCTGATAAAGATGTCTGCTTGAGACTTTGGGGAATTCGTTCTGGGTAGATGGACTAGTGATCTTCCTTGTTAGAAAACAGGTCCTTGGGTCTTCATGTGCTCATGGATACAGGATCATAGAGGTGGTTTAGGAGAAACCTACCAGTGAAACAAGAAAGATCGAGTAAGGGTTTGGAGAGAACTAATAGAGAACTGTTGTCTTTGTCCATGGAGTTTTCTTGGCAGGGATACTGGTGTGGCTTGCCGGTTCCTCCTCCAGGTGGATCACGGTTGGTCAAAACTCTCCACTATGACCTGTTCATCTTGGATGCCCTGCTCGGCATAGTTCATAGCTTCTCTGAGTTATTCAAGCCCCTTCGCCACAGCAAGGCAGTGATCCATGAAGGGAATTGATGCTTTTGAATTATGGTGCTGGAGGAGACTCCCATGCTGGAGGAGTCCCATGGACTACAAGAAGATCAAACCTATCCATTCTGAAGGAAATCAGCCCTGATTGCTCACTGGAAGGACAGATCCTGAAGCTGAGGCTCCAATACTTTGGCCACCTCATGAGAAGAGAAGACTCCCTGGAAAAGACCCTGATGTTGGGAAAGATGGAGGGCACAAGGAGAAGGTGACGACAGAGGACGAGATGGTTGGATAGTGTTCTCGAAGCTACCAGCATGAGTTTGACCAAACTGCAGGAGGCAATGGAAGACAGGAGTGCCTGGCGTGCTCTGGTCCAGGGGGTCACGAAGAGTCGGACACGACTAAACGACTAAACAACAACAACAATAGAGAAATGAAGCTAGACCACTGACTTCTGGCCAGACTCATCTAGTACCTTTCTAGACCTATTAAGCCCACAGAATAAAGAGACAACAGAGTAGTTTTGAGTTTCAAATAGGCAACAAGATCCTTTATGGGATCTTCAGTTGTCACATAGCCTAACACAATCAACTCCCTCCTCCTCCTATGGATTCCCTATCAGGTAAAAGAGCTTTCCTTCTTCAACTTCTTTTCTGGGTGAACCTTCTTAGTTCGGGACCATTGGATGAACTTTCTCCCGCTCGTGGTCTTCACAAG